AGATCGTGAATACTTTGAAGTGGTCGGCGAAAATCGTGAATACTTTGAAGTGGTGAAATGACTGAAAAACGCTGAACCCACCCGCCCCCGCCCCCTCTCTAGATTTCTTCAAAATCTGGAAACTTATCACGTGCTCTATATGAATTCTGAATTTTTTAGGACCCGTTAACCTTCTCTCGTGTCCGAATGAGCAGAGGTTGAGCCACAGAAAAAAACTCAAGCGAGATAGCCCTCTAGGAGGGTATTCCCACAAACGAGTTTTCTCGTGGTCCCAATGTCCCAAACTGACCCCTGTTTACATCAGTCCCAACGTCCCGGGCTGTCCTAACATAGTCCCAACTGCACTTTACCCACCAAAGATACTCTCCAACCAACTTTAAGTCCACACTGCCTCCAATCACCATGTCCGCTCAAGATAGCCACACCAACACGTCACTCCTGTTCTCAAAATCAGTCTCTCCTGGTCCCAAAATGGTCTCAGATGGTCCTAATGCAATCTCATACCATCGCCCGCAATACCATATGGTCCAGAACTCAAAACCGCTCACACTGCACACTGCAAAAAAAATAAAGGTGGCCCTGGGTGAAAAATGCATGTGTCTCGAGCCCCAACGACTATTGCCCCATCTACCCAACCGTGCACCAGCACGAGCCCAACCTCTACATCATGCTGAAATTCGCCACAACCGTTGTGCACCACAAAAAATTAACGGCGGAATTACCGCTCGCCGTTGTCGCTAAAACTGGTACCACAGTCGTCCAATAGCACCACCACATGCTCACATACCACAACGAAAGGCCCAATGTGCTGCAAAAAATCACCGTCGTAGTTCTAGAATACCACCACTGAGCAAAAATCACCAACTGTATTGCGGAAGGACCTTCCCTTAAAACACTGTCGAATATCCACGTCCCCATCACTACCGCCGTAAAAAATCCTGCTGCCTCATAAAAGTTTTGGTAGCACCTTCCTCCAAAATTATGGCAACGCAGCCTTCTCACTCAATGCTACTAGCTACCGCGCAGGCCGTCGGGCGGCACCTTCCCGTTCCAACAGCAGCTCCCTTCCTCTCCCAGTAGCATCTCCCCATAGGAGCAGCCAGCCAGTATTCACACAAATGAGTGTCCCAGCAGCACTGTCACATTTGTGAGACTGCTGGGTAGGAGGCTGGCTTTTATGGTTGCTAGAGGGAGCTGCCTAGCACTCCTTTACCTCAGGTGCATTCGGTAGCATCTCCCCACAGGAGCAGTCAGCTTGTATTCACACAAGTGAATGTCCCAGCAGCACTGCCACATTTGTGAGGCTGCTGGGTAGGAGGCTGGCTTTTATAGTTGTTGGAGGGAACTGTCCAACACTCCTTTACCTGAGGTGCATTCACGGGCTTAGGTTGAGCCCTGGACCTGAGTCAAACTGATGGCTCACTGTGGCCCAGCGTGGGCCACACACTTAGGCAGGCAGTTACTTTTAACTGCCTGCATTTTATTTTTCTTTCTCTTACCCCAACTATCTCGTAATTTCACGAGATACCTGGCTTCCTGCCGTTTTCAAAACTTTTTTTCTTTTCTTTTTCTGGTCTTTCTTTGAAGAGATATACCTCTTCAAAGTTTGACATACCCAGCACATTTTCTAGTGCATGTACGTCGTGTCCTAACTGAACTCAACCATTTTTCAGAATGGCTGTTCAGTTTGTACTATTCTAGCCGGGGTGGTCACACTCAGGCCTGAACAAGTGCACCCAGCCATAATCGCGGCCGCATTCGCGGTCGTTTCCTTTATCATTATTATCTTTGTTTTTTTTTTCCTTGCCCCCTCGTTTCTCTGTGCAGGGGCAAGTTCAAGCAGTCGGTGCCCCTTTAAAAACGAATGGGCGCAACCACTATGACATGCCACAAGGAGGGGGACCAAGGCAAGCCTTAGGGTTGGAGACTTACCTTTTGGTCGTCGCGTCTGTTCGCTGCCAGTGTCCCTCGTAGTAGTAGTGGTAGTAGTAGTTGTTGTAGTAATTGTTGTAGTAGTAGTAGTAGTAGTAGTAGTAGTAGTTGTAGTAGTAGTAGATAGGGGAGGGGCATATTTCCAGGTTCTAGCAGTAGATTCATTAGATTTCGCTCCCCCACTATAGACGGCAAGTCAGCCCGTTCGTCAAACGAACAGGCGTGACTTCTAAAAGGATACAAACAAAATCTAAATTAAAACCTAAAAAACAAAATCAAGAAAATCTAGAAAGAGAAGAAAAATAAAAAAAAGAAGAACTTACCAAAAATAAAATAATAAACAGCATCCCGTGAATAAGGGCGCCCCCTACAACTCATGGGGACCTCCAATCCCCATCAGTCCCCTTTGCGCCAACTGGCACTTCATTTGTTTCTTAGTTTTAGTTTTTTTTTTTTTTTTTTTGGTAATGGCCCGTTCGTTCAAAGCGACGGGCACTGCGCTTGATTCTAAGAGAATCTAAAAAAAAAAACAAAAAAACAAAAAAACAAAGAAAAAAAATAAAAAAACAAAAGAAAACTCTTACTGTAAAAAAAAATGATTGCCCATTCGAAACGGGCACCGTCAGGTGCACTGGGGCTGAAACGCCCCAGTTATTTCAGATAGCTCCACAGTTCGCTTCACGTAGTTTAGTTTTTATTTTATTTTACTTTTATTTATTTATTTTGCTGTTTTTTTTTGTTTTTTTTTTCCTTGAGGGCTTATGCCAACGATCGTATCTCATTCGTGGGCCTCCCACAACGTGTCGAGATACAAACCCAAGCTCAATCCCATTTCTCGATTTATGCGTGTCATCCTTCCGCAGTGTCCATGCTCATCTTCCACGCGACTGATCTCGGCCACGTGATCGTAGTGATCATGCGGCCGGAATCGGCCACGATGTAGTCCCAACCACGGCCAGCTCCCCCAAAAGGAGCTAACACCAGTGGCAGCGCAATCAGGTCTCGTTACCTACATATGTGGCATGCCAATCTGATGTGTTAGCCTACTAGGTTAGCTCCTTTCACGGAACCTATAAGGGGCAGCCCTTGTATTTGAAGGGTTTTGCCCTGTAGGCCGTGCGCGGTATGGCATGCCCTGCCTGTCTCACCCCTCTTCCCGACCAACCGTCTGCCTACGGCTTGGGCAGGGACTCCATCCGCTAGGAAGAAGTGTCCGACACTCCAGCCTTCGGTGTGAAACCGAACCCCAACGCCCCAATAATTATAATAATAATCAGGGTTACCATCCCGTACGTACGGAGGCCCCGAGCCGGACCTCCGTACGTTCGGGCGTTCGGGGTCCCGTACGGGGTTCGAACCCGACGGCGTTCGGCCCCTGCCAGAAATTATTTCGGGGCCTAAAAATAATTTTTTGTTTCTGAATGTTTTTGTGTCCGTTCTCTATGACTTGCGGTACATGCGTATATAGTTTCAAGTCATTTGACTTATTCAAATAATAATTAAAAATCGCCAAAGATGGCGGTGTCAAAACGTGCTCGCCCATGTTTTTTTTCACTTTTTACTTTTTGTTTTCACTTTAGTTCGGGGTCTAAACAATTTTATTAATTTTTAAAAAATTTTATTATGTGAAGTACACATATGTAAATTTTCAGGGAATTTAGTTGTGCCAAAAAAAAATAAAAAATTGCCAAAGATGGCGGTGTCGAAAATGTGCTTGCGCACTCGATAAATTTAATTCTCTCTTTATTTTTATTTATTTTTATTATTAGTATTTGTTCTGTGTATTTTATTTTTATTTCAAATTTGGTAAGGAATTTCTAATGCTCAGGCAAATCTTGTTTAATTTATTTTTCTCCATTACATATTTGTCTTCAGATTTTTTTGATGACTTTTTTTTTTTTTTTTTTTTTTTTTTTTGGGTCCGCGTTCGGCCTGAACGGCCGAACGCATCCCCAAGGGGTCCCATACGTTCGGGCGTTCGGGTTCGGGCATTCGGCCCATCCCGAACGCCGGTTACCCGGATAATAATAACAATAATAAAATAAAAATAATAGTTACCCCATTTCTCCCCGCACCTCGACTCCATTCCCTGACTTGGTCATTCCTTTTAGCATGCTTAGACCCTGAATCGCATGGCCACCGCTTCTAGATGCCACACGCGTCAGGTCTTAGGTTCAATAAGTTTTGGTCTCTCAGTCATAGGTCAGTCTGAATGAACTTTTGGCAACATCAATCTCATCAAGCCCATTAATTCCACAAAAAGGTAAGACAGCGTCCAACCTTTAAGATCACCGGGCAGATACCCTTCAATTTGTTCGGATTTCTGCACCGACAACGTATCCTCGATCACCCGAGCGTGTGTGGGGATCAAAAGGCTCTGTCTGTGGGCGACGATGAAGGATTTCCAACACGTGGTCTAGGAGGCGGGGTTGGCATGTCTCCTGCACATGGCGCTCCCTCCTACGGGCCCCCCAAAACCCCTGGAACATCTGTCGTGCTATGTCCTCCACTGGAGGTAGACCCGGACCACACTGGTGACGCAGGACACCATGGAACCGAAAGGATCGTCTGCCATCAGGGATGTTTGAGTTTCGGGTTAAATATGCGTGGGTCCAGTCGAGGCAGATCACGCACAGCGGACGTTGCCAACTTCTTTGCATCCAATGGACCGTTGACCTCCTGCGGAGCCGGTCGCGATGGACGTGGAGGCTTAACCAATGGCTCGGACCCCAAATCCGTGATAATAACAGGTGGCACATCATGCATTGCCACCTCAGTCGGCTCTGACTGTCGGGCCTTGGCCAAGTAAAGACCCGAGAACGGGACAACCGGACCCGTCACTGTGTCGTGAACCGTTGGTCGTGAGTCGCCAGCCCCCCCGTCTCGCCCCTATCCACCCTCCACAGCCTCATCCACCGCCTGTGGCCCGCCCTCCACAGCCTCATCCGCCGCCTCTGCTGCTAGTCCCTCCATAACGTCTGCCCCCTCCACCACCCTACCCTGCCCACCATCTCTCCCTGTCTCTCGACGCCTGCGCTCCTCCGAGGGTCGTGCGAACGCCTGGGCACGAGGGTCGTTGAATGCCATAAGTCAAGCCCTCTCTCGCTCCATGATGTCAAGTGCTACATCTGGAGACTCCGCTGACATCCTCTCTCTCAAGGTCTGCGACCCTGTCTTGCCTGCCACCTCGTCCAACGAAGACGCCCGATCCGTCGATGCCCTCCCACCGCAAATAGGGGGAGCGCCCATCGACATGTCAAAGTCAAAGTGGGTCCCCATCTCTGAAACCGCCCCCCTTCTGGTAGGAGACATCCCCATCCCCCTCGCCACACCCGGGGTGAAATCGCCTCCGACTACATCAAGATCGTTCGTAATAAACTGCTGCATGAGGTGCTTCTCGGCATCGTCAACCCCCCCTGGGCCAGTGGCGTCCGCACCATCATGCTTCATAACAACGTTTGATCGTGAAATTGGCGCTACTGCCTCCTCCCCCTCCACTGCAGCTGCTATCTCCCCCTCCACTGCTGCTCCAGCTGGCACCTCCTCCTCCCCCGTCGCCACTGCTGGTACCTCCTCCTCCACTGCTGTTACCTCCCCCTCCACCGTTGCCGCTATCGTGACCTCCTCCTCCGCTCGAGGTAGCAACCCCCTGTCCGCCGGAGTGGCACGGTGGCCAACCTCCTCCTGCAAGACCCCCGAAGGTGATTGTGACCTCGGCCGGTGAACCGCCGCATATCTCTGCAGAAGTATGTGTTGAGGCAAGGAGGATGCCAACTCCTCCATCTTTGCCGCTGTCGTGCCCGACTAAAGTGGCGAGACGGGCAATGGTGGTAAAGGTTTCGGAATAGGAGGTGGTGCTATGGACGACTCTCGCGTCGACGGAGTAGGAGTCATCACCCACGCCTCTGTGCAGCTCGTGCCTGCATGAGAGCCCTCGACTCTATCATCACACACATCACCTATGGAAGTCACCTTCCCGAAAGGGCCCCAACAATTCTCGTCTCCCCCCAGCATCTCCCTGTCCGCCCGGTTCGCCATCCATCGCGTGGTGTGTGTCCTCGTCTCCTCGTCGTTGGGATCGTCGTGCGTCTCATCGATCTCGCAGGGAATGTGGAGTGCACGGTCATTTGCTGCCCCGAGTATCGGCTCCTCATCCGAGTGATCCTCCCCAGGGTAGCAACGAAAAATGCAAGCACGTCGATCAAAACCGGCATCCGCAGAGGGCAGTGCAGAAGCCCCGATGGGATCGCGCGTAATAAGCGCAACCTAGTGGGCAATCTCCTCCTCCATCATCCCTCTGCGCATGCCCGTGCGCACCGGCTCCACCTCGAGTTCTTCCTGGCAGTCGAGTATGCCCCCATCCCGCTCTCATGCCAACACATAACCGCATCTTGCCCGCTAATACTCTATCAACCGCACATTTGTGACATGCTGGCTGCAGTCTCTACCTGTAGCGAGTAGCTTTCTACGAACCATTCCCAATGGTCCTGTGTGGGCAGTCGGCACATGCCCCTCTCTTTCCAAAATTCTTGTATCCCTTCTTGGAAGGTTTCACTCAGTAGGAGAGAGTTGTTCAGTTTGTGAAAACTGCCCCCTTTCTTCATTTGTTGCTCGAAGCATATTGTGAGTTCAATAGGTTTGTGGTCCAGGCCTAGATAGGGTGCTAACTGCAGGATTGTCGTCTCTTTTACCGCTTCCATCATTGTGGCTGATACCAGGAAATAGTCTATTCTAGAGAAGGCCAACTGGTTGCACGACCTTCTCGAAGGCCAACTCGTTGTGCTTCTTCGTGTGGATGCCCTCGTGGACTGCCCAATTCCTCCCCGCTGGAGAAGCGAAGGACCACATGTGCATCACACGAAGAGCGCATCGATGTAACTCAGGTACACCGGCCCCGAACCGGGACCACCAAGACGAGCACTCGATCGTCTCGGCGTCACCTCTACACGCACGCCCACTTGCACGCCCCTTTGCCCCGCCCCAATCGCCAAACCTGCCCTGCTGCATGTGGAATTCCTCAAGGTGACGACAGACAATGACGTAATCTGCACTGTCTAACTCGAAACTCGTCTGCGTCAAAATGTACTTCTTGGCTTGCCTCACAAGCGAAGCATGGTACTCGGCTACCTCGCCTGAAAAATACTGAACATGTCGTCTGCGGGGGTTCAGTAAGAACCCAGTGCAGCGAGTCGGCTCAAGCATGTGCTGTGTGCGGGCATGCACACGCCTGACGATCCAGTCGGCGAAGGACTGCCCCAAAGGAGCGCATGCGTCCGTCACACGGTGGACAAGATCATGTGTCCACTCGATCATAAGCGACATGAATTGTCCTCCATGATCCATCCGCCTAAGCAACTACATGACGGTGTCGGCACGAATACCCTTACAAGGGTATCCGCCCTGTTTTTTTGCAAGTGACAGAAAATAGCTTTGGTTTGAAATTTGAGTACACTGCACGAGTTGCGGTTGTGTTTTGTTCATGGTGACTAAATGGTTGAGTTGAAGTAAAGAGTGTGTGGCCACGTAGTTTGAAGCGCACGTGATGATTCTTATTTTGATGCTATAGAGTCGGCGCTTCCGTCGGCAAAACTATTGGCTTTGATTAAAACTAGGGAAAGTCTTTCTTTTATTGAAGTGTCCATGGTACATCTGCGTTCATACGACATGCGTTATCGGAAGTGGTGTTGCTTTGGGTAGTAATTGGGGTGTGCGAGAGAAAGTAAAACGCAGGCGGTGACCTCCGCATTATAGATGCGGGAGGTTGACAATCGTGGACGAAGCGAGTCCCTATGAGCGGCGGGCGCAATAGGTCGGCAGTCGTGAGTTGGTCCGTAGGCGCAGGAGTGGCCTTGATGTATTTTGGTAGGCCCACGTGCCGTGACGCAACAACTTATATTGAATTTTGCAGTAGTCTGTCTCAGCCTTGGGTACTAGCACTATTGGTCACGGCATTGGACTTTCAAAGCGACGGTACAGGGATCGAGGGCGACGACCGGAGGCGGTGGAACATCGAAACGGCTGAAGATGCCGAGGGGTTGAGGGCCGGCGGGGCTATCCCCCTTGGTTTCGTTGCCGGCCCATCCGTGGGCCCGATCCACGGATCTAAAAGTGGCACTGACAGTCTCCCTTCCCCAAAGCGCGAGCTCCCGATGCGTGTGTTTTTATTTTTACTTTTATTTTATTTTTCTCTTGCTACCGGTCCCGTATTCTGGATGCGGTGACAATGCTGGTATTGGCGTTGTTGAGGAGACCAGCAGGCGTAGCTCAATTGATACGCCCATGAACTGTTGAAACCGCGGGCTGAGGAGTTCAACGAACATGTGAGCCTGTTGGGTTAGACCATGGGGCGGAAGAAACCTGAGTGGCGGGGACCCTCCGGGGGTGTACCATCCGCCAACCACGGTCTGCTGTGTGAGGTTTGAGTGTGAGCCTACCCAGTTGGGACCCGCAGATGGTGAACCGTGCCTAGTCACAGCAGGACGGGAGACTGGGGCAGTGGCTGCTGCAGCAACACTGACTGTGCGCAGCCGTTCACATAGAACCCTTTGCCACATCGGTCTTCAAAGTTCCTATCTGAGTTTTGCTACTACCACCAAGATATGCAGCAGGACCTGCTTCACCTGGGATCATGCTGCAAGGGTTGCGGGCCCCGCGCCCTTCTACTCTTCACGACAGTCGAGCATAGGCCACACACCCGGCATCGTGGGACCAGCAAAGTACCAATCCGCCATTGCTGCAGGCACGTAGGGCCCTGTCCCATCTGAGAAGGGTACAGTAGTGTGACCCGAACCATGCCCAAGACCTCAAACTGGCCCGTCCCATATTTGCATATTTTTGGAGATTTGCATTATTTTTTTCCAGATTTGGGGTTGCAGTGTGACCATGCCCGGTTGGGACCCGAAGGAAGGAGAAAACTGTGTTTGGGCACAGCGGGGAAGGGCGGTGGCTGCAGCAGCACTGACTGTGTCCAGCTGCCCATTTGGAACCCCTTCCCCTTTCTGTCGTGTTATTATTATTATTATTATTATTATTATTATTATTATTATTATTATTATTATTATTATAATTATTATTTTACCCTTTGGTTACAGTTGGGACACGGCCTAGGCACTGGTTCCGGGACTGGCAAAAGTACCCAAGAGCCTAGCTCCGTGGATATACCCATAAACTGTTAAAATACAGATCTGAGTTCGAAGTCCACTCGCAGCAGATGAGTGAAATATTGCAAATTTTAATTATCTGGAACCAGCCAGTTCAATGATGATATCCCAAGGCCGTTGTCACGGTACAGAGAAGATTAGCATGGCCCCTGCCCAAGTACTACAAGTATAAGTTCAGGGGCGGGCCTTGGCTAGCAGTTCTCGGTAACCCGAGCTGCTATCAGGCCGTGAGCGACAGGCGCCTTGGCTAGCACTTCTCGGTAACCCGAGCTGCTATCAGGCCGTGAGCGACAGGGGTGTGTTATATTCAGGAGGGAGAAGACGACGTGGACGACGAAGATGGTGAAGACAAAGTGTAGAGGGGGAAAAAGTCATAGCTCCTTGACGGAATCGGGTGAAGTAAGACTTGAAATTGAGTTTTTGTAGTAAGGAGAGTTGAACGGCGGGGTTAGTTTGGGTGCTAGGTTAGTAGGATGAGACATAGAAGTGAAAATAGGTGCGCGGAGAAGTTGGAAGACTGGGATATGGTGGAGGTAGTAATTCATATCTTGCCCATTTCTTGGCGAAAACGGGCGAGCGAAGATCCTGTTTCGGGGCTTGGAGGTATGGCGAATCTGATGGCAACATCAGATTTCGCGTTCGAGGAGTAGGCTGGCCGGGTTCAGAAATAGGGGCTGCGCCCAAAGGCATGGCTACGGGCATGGCAGGAAAACTGATGGAGTAAAGGAATGGGAAGTGAGAAGGGAAAAAAAAGAAGGAGACAAGGGAGGCTTACCTTACATGGGAACTAGCCGCATGCTCTCTCCTGCTCGCTCTGTTTGGTTACTGAACGAGTATCGGGACAACGCGGGTGGCCAGGTGCATCAACAAGAAGACGATGATAACAGAAATGAGCATGGTGGGATAAAAGAAGGGATTTCCCTTCGGATCTTCAATGGGAGCGGGTGATTGGAGATGCTAAGCGTGGGTTCTGAGGTCAGGCGAATTAGATGATATAGCCGGAGTGGGAGGAGTGTTAGTAGAAGAAGGGAGAGGAGAGAAAGTGAGAGCGAGGAGGTGCTACGAATAATATATGGCCGGAGTTGAAATATGGTATATCTGCCGATATAGGTAACTAAAACGGGCAAATGAAAAGCTAACTTTGAGGTCTTGGTCGATGATGAGGTTGATAGTGTTCAAGTTGTTAGATTTGGTGTTGGGAATGTAAATCAGCCAGTATGGCAATTCATTGTTGCTCGCAGGAAATGGAATGACAATGTATCTACTCGATTTCCAAAGGAAGATTCATGCCCATTTCTGCACATATGAAAGGCCGCGTAGAGTGGTCTGCAGCGGCGATGTTCCATCTGGGTCGTTTTCGTTGGTTGTAACTTTCTTGCCGGTGATCATCTCCACCATCGTTGGTCGTCATCATCCAGTTGTTCGTCATCCTTCCGGCAATAGTTCCTCCTTTGTTGCTTGTGCAGGCGCATGCATCAGGACGACTTCCTAACCGGGTGGGTTGTAGAGGTAAGAGAGGGGAAAGCCAGAGGAGTAGGGTGCTCACACGAATAGAGAGAGAGAGAGAGAGAGAGAGAGAGAGAGAGAGAGAGAGAGAGAGAGAGAGAGAGAGAGAGAGAGAGAGAGAGAGAGAGAGAGAGAGNGAGAGAGAGAGAGAGAGAGAGAGAGAGAGAGAGAGAGAGAGAGAGAGAGAGAGAGAGAGAGAGAGAGAGA